AACCCTCTGGAAGCGGGTGCCGCAAAGACCTGGAGAAGAAGCGACGGCAGCAGCAGAGAGAGACAGGACAATTAAAAAGCAGCGACGGCAACAGCAAGAACGCAGCAGCTCTGGAGACAAGAAGAGGCACCATCCGCATGCAGCAAAACGGCCCCTTCCCCGCAATTGACACACACACAACTTGGATCGCAGCGTGATGTTCCCTGTCTATTTCTGCTCCAGAAAGAAGAATAAGAATAAGAAACGGTGCAGTTCAGCCAAGAGGAGAGAAGAAATTAAGGGAAAACGGGGATCCGGGCTAATCCGCCCACCAGCAGCGCATCGCCCAGACACAGACGCAGAGAGACGCAGATGCCAGTTTATAATAAGAAGAGCCTGGGCTTGAGAGAGCCTTCTGCAAGATTGGGGAGGGGGGCGTCCTTCGTGCTCCCTTGCGAACGTGCGGTGGTGCCGTTTCCCTCCGCGCTTGGCTTAAGCCCTTCGTGTTCACAGCGGACCTTGATTTAATTTCAATACAATTAAGGCACGCGGTGAATGCCAAGAGAGAAGCCATTGCCTGCCTGCCCGCCTGCCTTCACTTGCTGCCTTCACTGCTGGCCGCGATGCGCTCCGCTGTTGCTGGATGGGACCCGCCGAGAGGCTTTCGCTACCTATTTTCCCGGGGATCGAACTCCAATATATATATATATGTATTCATTAAAGAGATCAGATCCTCCCTGGCTGGTAAGAAAATGAGAAAATAAAGCACTTTTTCATTTTTATTTTGCTGCATGTGTGTGTGTGCGCGCGCGCGTGCCCGCGCGCGCGTGCCGCAGAGAGCGAGCAATAAATATTGTCTCTGTGAACGATTTCGGAGAGTGCGGGTTTTGCTTCTTGCGCGAAGACTCCGGGCGGGAGGGACCTTCGAGTCTGTAAGGCGTTGCGGTGCTGGCAGCGATCGCTTGCATTGAGGTGGTCGCGCTAAGAGGCTCTCGTGACTCCCCCGTCCTTGCCTCCCCCTCTTAGGCACAGATGACTAAATGTAGGTAAAGGAAAGGAGAAATTATTTGGAGCGGGGGCAGAGAACCGGCTGTGCCTGGAGGTGGCTGGTCCCCACTCCTCTTGCTGTGGGCGGCAGGTGCGGAGGGGAGGCGAACGCGTAAATACAGTTGAAAGAGGATGTCAATTCCAGGCAGGTTTTTTGTATATAGATAGATACGCGGAGCAGCAGCGCCTGCCCGCAGCCTGCGTATTGTCCTGCGCATACAAAAAAAAAAAAAAAAAAAAGTCGAGGGGGTATTGAGAGGGGGAGAGAGAGAGCTGGCTTTGTGGATCTCTTGAAAGAGCAAGGAGCAGCTTGAAACGGGGCGTCGGTGGCGCGTGTGTTGAGGGTGGAATAGCAAATGCTGCAGTGAGAAGGCATCTGTCTGTTTCTTCTACCTGATCGGGTTTCTGTAGCCCTCACAGACTGAGGACCGGGCCAGGTTGGAGGGATGATGGGATGGATGGAAGGAAGGAAGGAAGGAAGGAAGGAAGGAAGGAAGGAAGGAAGGAAGGGCAACGGGTTTTCTCTCCCACTCCTCTCTCGTTTGTTTAAATGGACTTAACAATCAAAACCTGGGGGGGGGATCCACGGCTGGAAACACAAAGATTGGCTAAACAGGAAGAGAGAGGGTGAGAGATTTCTCCCCCCCCCAGCTCCATTTTGTCACGCGATCTGGAGATGGTTGAAAGGGGCCATGGAAGACCCGTGTACATGATAGCTTGGATTTAGAAAAAACGTGGGTCTCTTGTGTGTTTTTAAAGTCTAACCTGCCCCCAAACTTCACACACAACCACGATTTATTTCATGAGAGGCAGCGACCCTAACCTCAGGCTCAAATATGGTCCGATCTCGGATTTTAGCAAGAGACCCAAAGAGGAGATTCTAATTTCAGCACCACGGAGAGCTCCTCGCGCGGTCCTTGGCAGGGCTGGGATAACAGGTCTTTGTTGGCTTCTCTCTCCCCCCCCCCCCCCATTCCTAAGCAAAAGAAAGAATAAGAAAACCGGGCGTCATAATCCCAGATGGTTAAGGTTGCAACCCGACCTCCCATTTACCTGGGAGTGAGCCCCTTTTAACTCAATGGGACTTGTGTCTGAGTAAACACGTGACATAGGACCGGGCTTTAAATGATTCCAAAGAGCCTCTCTGCGTAAAATCATTTAAGCGGTTGCTTGGCGTCTGTAGGGCAGATATATACAGATATAGACACTACAGTTGATTGAGGTCCCTTTCTCTCTGTCTGTCTCTTGCAGCATCATAGATTGCAGTAAGGAAAAGATAGCGTTTTCTTTCAACTCCGTTATTTTATTTTATTTTTAGCATAATGATGTTAATGTTTACCAGCGTTGCTTTACCTCTCGGTGCCGGGCGCTTTTGCCCATTACCGTAATGCCCCCGCTGTGCGCATCTCTTGTGCTCATTTCTGCAGGAAGGGGAGGAGCAGCCGTTCCCCCCGCGGTCCGCACCATCTGCCTGTGTGACCTTTAGCTTTCTTAAGGACAGAATCGCGGGGGAAGGCGCGCGGGGAGGGCGGGGTGCAGAGATGAGCGAGCAGCGCCTGATGGACTGGCTTAAAAAAAATAAATAAACAGCAGCAGATTTTGGACAGCAGTTGTAGGATTTCAGCCATGGAGCCTGGGTTTCAGATCTAACGGGGAACATTTTGCTCTGTTCCTTCTCTCGCTCGCTCTTCCTCGCTCCCTCCTCCCCCGCTTCCCTCCTACCCCCGGCCAGCTGTTCAGGGGATTCCGCCCAGATTATGCAAAAAAGGGTTTTAGCTCCTTTCCTTTCCTTTTGTTGATTTGAGCTGCAGCCCCACACCCTCGTCCAGAAGGATAGGGCCCCGATCCTCAGGGCTGAGATACAAAAGCCATTTGTTGCTGTCATTTACCTGGGAAGCTCAGGGAAACTGACTTCTGCTTAGATCTGCATAGGATTGCGCTGTTGCTTGCTTGGGAGTAAGCGCCATTGAACTCAATGGGACTGACATCTGAGTCGACATGCACAGGATTACACCGTTAATCCAGCGGAAGCCGAAGGAGCAGTCCCAGCTCCTGCTTGGTGCAGAGCAAGGGGATTAGTCTGCCCAGAGGATGAAAAAAACCAACAACCTGCGTTTCCCTTCAAGGGGGAAATTATTTAATTTTTTTAAAAAAAATCATCGTAACCAAACCATCTGAACGAACTGGGTTGCCCGTTCGGGTTAAACTACATAATCAGATAAGAAATCAGCCTAGAGTACATTCATCATAGGAGGCATATGTAGCGCGCGCGCCCCCTCTTCCACCTCCCCAGCACATGCTAATAGCTGAAGACTCGGCATATCGCCATCTTTACTTCTTCTTTAATGGCTCTTTATTTAATCACTCATTGCTCGGTGCTAGTCCCATACTGGGCAGAGGGGGAAAGGCATTTTCCCACTGAGTTCTTAAAAACAGGGCATCTATGTGGATGGGAAGAAATGAAAATATGTGGTGGGGAGTGAAAACTATTGTTGCTCCTATTTATTGCATTAACATTTCCATCCCGTCTTTCTGTCAAAATAACCAAGGTGACAAATAATATAGTCATAAGCACTCATACTACAAAGTTATTAAACTTAATAATAATGACAATCGTCATCATCATTACCATTGCTGCTGCTAGTAGTAGATTTGATAGAAGGGGATGCATCTAGCAAATCTGCATTTGAACTTTGTTGCTGTGTTAATTCGTGAGATGAGGTCTCTTTTTCTCTCAATAACCCAGGGCAAGGTGCTGACTCCTTCAATGATCCGTCATAGATAGATAGATAGATAGATAGATAGATAGATAGATATTTAAAAATTAAACTATGGAAGAAGAAAAAGACATCCAGCTCAATCCTATGCATGTTTTCTCAGAAGTAAATCCTATTGCGTTCAGTGGGATTTACTCCCAAATATTGTCCACAGGATTGTTTGAAACCTATGCACCCTTATGTGGGAGGAAACCCCATTTAACACCAGAAGAGTTATTTTTGCATAAACATGCTGTTAGAAGTCCTTCTGTTGAGAAGCCTAATTTGTGTGTTGGTTATCATAAAGCATTAATCTAAACCTGGCACAGATAAAAAAGCAGTGGGTGGGAAGTCTTTCTTCTCGATGAAAACCAGAGTGTTTTCTAACTGCTTATTTCCAAGAATCACCTATTTTTTACTATTTCCCTTGCAGATCTGGATTTCTAGGGATCCCTTTATATGCACAATCTTTTATCATGTACACGGGTCTCCAACCTGGTGCCTATGGGCACCATGGTGCCCATGAAGGCTTTCACTGGTGCCCCTGTGCAGATGCCACAGAATCTGAGCCTTTTTAAAATTCAAAGTAAGTCTCTAGCCCTCCTAGAAAGAAAGTTATGGGACAAAATGTGCAGGTACCTTTTAAGTGAATTTTGTGAAATAAGGGTGAGTGTGGTGTGGTGACCTTGTATCTTTTTCCTGGTACTGAGGAATGTTTCCTGGTACTATTAGACAGCAATAGCATTTCTGCGTATCTGTGTGCAATCAATATTGTGTGATGTCCACAATCAGGACCTGCAGCACATAGCTGGCTTTCCACGGTAAGCGTTAGGTTGTTGGGGGAGGGAGATGTCTTCCTAATTTTTTTATACCACACCCCTCCACAGCAGCTGTTTTGCAACTGGCAGCCCCGGCACTCACTCACAATTTGAAATGTGCACTGCAAAAAGATTGGCGGCCCCTGATATAACATTGTCGCAGCCGCTTGCAATACAACTGATGCTCCTTGCTTGTTTTGTTGGCTTTTTAAACTATTTAAAAATTGTTTCTGTTTTAGAACTTCCAGGTTAAACAGCTCCATGGGACAAATAGGACAGTCCATCTTTCTTGGAGTCTGTGTGGATATTTTCTATTCTTTCACAGGACTTTCCCCTCCAAACAACTTTACTCAGAATGGAAAAGGCAGTGGTGAGAAAAGAATCAGGGGACCAGTTATTGCACACGTATGTGTGTGGGTGTGTGTACACGTACATGTACACACACACACACACACACACACACACATATACATATTCTACAGTCTTTATAAATTGCTAAAGAACTCCACAGGAATATATTTCATCCCACTACTGAGGAAATCTGTCTAACAAACCATTCAAGCATGTGTCAAGCCATCTGCATCCTTGGAGATGGAGTGACAGCTAATTATAACCCTCCTAAATGGCATCCCCCCTCCTTCACTTCACCCCAATATTGGGCTACGTAACTGGCAATCTTTTGAGAGACATTCTTGTGTTAAGGTCTTTTCCCCTCAGCCATGAAAGAAAAACCTTGGTGTTCGGTGTGGTGCACCAAACCACTGATATTTTCACCGCAAAGTGAAGTCACTAAGATGCAGCCTTGGTTTCCAAGGGCAGCTGAGTGTTTGCTTGGTTTTTATATACAAAAAATGAGCTTGGGAAAGATGGTGATGTATAATTTTGCTCCCTTGAGTGTCTTTCACAAAGGACAGGGGCTCTAGCTCAGCGACAAAGCACGTGATATTCATGAACACAAGGACACAAATTTTGTGTGTTTAATGAAGAGATTTTTGAGGCCAGGACTGAAGAAACCCTTTTGCCAGAGCTCTGGAGAGCTGTAGCCCAAACTCTGTTGTAGCTGTTGCATAGTCTGTTGAGAAATATCACATCATGTATGTTTTAATTCTCTGTCATTCATTAACTCCCTGCCCTTTGAAAGCTAGCGTGGCAAGGAGAAGAATTGCAGCCTAGTCTTCTCCCTGAGCCATTTGGGCTTTTTTTTTTTCACGCACAGGGAGGTTTGCCTGTTTTTACATATTCAGCAGTGCAACACAAACATGCTGCCTGCAGCTCACCTATCGTATGATATTGCCTGAACATGCCATTCGCCTCTCAGTTGCTGAATCAGATCAGATGACTATTTATCCACCTGCTTGCTGTAAGTCAGGACCTTCCACAGACTACTACTCCAGCAAGCTGATCCATATAATCTAGACCTCAGTGTCCCTCTGGCAGAGAGCCAGAAGGAAAGTACACATACCAAGAGAAAATAGGCCAAAGCATTCATGTGGCGGGGTGGACCTGCGGCCCCCCGTGATGTTGTTGGATTACAGCTGCTATCATCCCAGACTATTAGACATTCCAAGTGGGAGGTGGAATCCACCAACATCTGGAAGGCCACAGGTTCCCCATCCCTGAATGGGGAACCTGTGGCCTTCCAGATGTTGGAAGCCCAAGTGCCACACAGCAAGGCATCTCATCCATCTCCAATCATCAGCCAAAGTGACCCACTGCAGGAGTACGGAAACCTGCAGCTGCCCAGATGGTGTTGAGCACCAGCTCCCATGAGCTCCAGCTGGCCAATAGTCAGGAATGATGGCAGCTGTAGTCCAACAAGAGCTGGAGGCCTAGAGCTTCCCTCACCCCTGACCTTCCAGGAAATTTATTCCCTTCCCTATACCTTGGCTGTGGGCAAAAGCAACACACTTGAATCTTTTCAAGAGGAAAGTTACTGGGGCAAAACTCCATACCACCCAAACTCACGTCTCCAGTGGTATTTCAGCACTGCGCCATTGATGTAAAGCAAATCAGCCTTCTTCAACCTGGTGCTCTCCCAATTCTTTTGGGCGACGACTCCCATCAGATACAGAGATCATGGCTGTGTGTTGGCTGTGGCTGATGGCAGGCGTAGTCCAAAACATCTGGAGGGCACCAGGTTGGAGGAGGCTAGAGTAACTTGACCATCACAACTGTAGGGTGGTCTCCTATGACTGGAGTTATACTTTACAGTATATAATTAGAATCATGTTTAATATCGCCTTGCTGCTCCACTTCCATCTCCTGGGACATTGGCTTGGCTTTCCTTCCTCAACCATTCAAAGGCATGGTGTTTTGGGACTGTGAAACAGCCGCAATGGACCATCAGGAGAGAGGTACTACCAACCAGGATGGATAAATATCCCATTTTCTCCACTTTGCATACCTGGGGTCTCAACCAAAATCCTTCGTCTTTTATTGGTATTGACTCATAGAACGCCACATGCCTGCAATCTGTGCTTCTGACAACCACTGGCAGTTTAAGGGCAAACTTCGCGTGCTATAGGAGATCTGTGATCAGGTTCACCGTTTTTTTTGAAATAAGTTTAAAGCAATTTCGGGGTTCTGATTTTGATCAGAGCAACCATACTGAGAGAGTGGAAAACTGGAGGGAGAATAAGCACCCCAATCTCCCCTGCCCCAAGATGCTTTGTGAAATTGGGATTAAGTCTCAGCATATATACTTTTTCCTACTCCAGTGCTTATAGTAGCTTCAAGGGATGACTTAGATTCAAACCAATAACATGGGCTACTTCTCTGATCAACCCTGAGACCCGGCATGGCTGCTTTGAAATATAAACAGACAGACAGACATTGGGAAATCTGATCACAGATCACCTACGTCACGTATGACCTGTACATTCCAGTGATGATCTTAGTATTGTTATATATTTTTCTGATTATATTCTTCTTGAACTGTACTCACATGACAGATGAAGGAAATAAAAACACAGTTCGGCCTCAATTTCTTTTTCCACTGGTGTTATTTAATCTGCTTGAAATGCAGCAAGGGTGTGTCTAGAAATAAAATGTTATTGTCTTTCCCTGGCTAAAGCTGATTTTGACTGTGTGTTCAAACTGTTCCATTTCGAGTGACAGTAGGACCACTGACATCAAAGAGGTCTATCTCCTGGTCTCCTCAGCACAACTTCATAGCAATAAGTGCAGCTGGTGTTAAGAGTCGGCCTGAGGAGGCATCTGCTGAGCATCCATGGATTCAGGTTGTTCTCCCACTCCTTGCTCTGGCCTGGACAACAGCTGATGGTGAGAAGGAGGAGTCACAGATGCCATTGCCTGCTTGCTCATTGGTTCTCTGCCTGGCAGGCAAGCAAGCAGATGGGAGCAATGATGGGGAAGAGGAGCAGGAGCATCAGCTGGGGATAGTGGCAGTGAGGAAGTAGACTCACTGATGGAGGGGATGGTGGGTCCATAGAGGGTGTCTTCCCCAAGGGACATCCTAAATTTGGAGCCACCACTGGCAATTAGAGGGAAATGTCATTATCATTCTTTACACTATAAGGATCAATGGCATTCACTGTCTTCACTGCATTCATCTTCACAATAGCCATATGGTGTGAGAGATGGATTCTTCTTATTCCCATTTTACTGAAGTCGAACTGATAGTGAAAGAAAAGGTTCCAACAAGTCATCAATGAAGCCAGGCTTCCCGAGTATATAAAAGTCAACAGTCTCATGCCTGTGCTCTAAAAGAGCTAGATACTCATTTGAGAGATTTTCATCCTGTTTGGTTCCAGCATGCCACACAAAGTTTTGCCTCTGAGCCCCGTAATAATGAGGCAAAATGCTATCACTGGGGTAAAGAAGGACCACAACTTTATTAATCTATAGACATTGTCTGCAACAGATTTCCTCTAATTAATACTATAACCCTCCAGTATGTGTTCAGCCCATGACAGCGTGTGTCATTTTCTCACCAGTTGCAGCTCAACAGGACAAGTCAACCTGGTTCAGTTCCACTGATCAGTATGAATGTAAGAAGTGTCTTTCTGGTTTGGATCAATGCAGCCAATCTAGCTCAGCATCCCATTTCCCACAGTGGCCCATCAGATTCCTCTAGGAAGCCTACAGCCAGGGCATGACAGCAATGGCACTCTCTCGCTGTTGTTCTCCAACAACTAGTATCCTGATGCGTATACTACATCTGAAGTTAGACCTTAGAACATTGCCACTATGTATTTGTCTAACCCTCCACTAAAGCCATCCAAGCTGGTGGCCACCATCACATTCTGTACATGTCCAGCACCTCCTAGCTTCCTCTGTCAAAAGGTCTTGAGGGCGCTCTGTCCCAGTCATCACTTCCCTGAACTCTTAATACCTGAGTTGGTGAGTTGGGCAGCTCCCAAAGGGTTCTAGCCCTTGTCGCCCAAGCCCAACATCCTGAGATGTTGGTTTAGAGTGGGTATGGGGAAACCTTGTCATTGCACTACAGAGCCCAACATTCCTGGGCCTGATGGAAGTTGTACAGCAGCAATATCTGGAGGGCCAGAGGTTCCCCACACCTGGTTTAAAGAATCTCCTTTAACACCCAAGGTACTTTAATCTATACCCCCTTTTTACCTGCATTGGCCTTGCCAAAGAAAGAAACCTGGGAGGGGACTCAACTGTCGTGGATAACTACCAATAGGTTGTGTTGCAGATCCTTAAGAAGTATATTATAACCCATATCTAAGAAGTGGACCCCCATCTGTCCAATACAATTGTGACATGGAATACTTCAAACCCAGGTGAGGCATGGCTACACACACCATGCTGCTCTCTGCTGCCTTGTGAACTTTTCTACAGCCTCAAAAAATGCACCTAGGAACACAAGGCCTCCTCAGTGCTCTCCTTTGGATCAACTCATCACACAATCCAAATCGTGTGCTAGCATTCCACTATGGGCCAGATGCCCATCCTATGCTAGGAGGCTCAAAACCTTCCATGATCTTACCTGGTTCATTTTCCTCCAAATGAATCAACAACAGGTGAGGTGGAGGACACCTATGCACATCTGCATACACACAACCCTGAAATATGGACAGGACCATTCCGTGGGACACTTGCTGAAGGGAAGGACTGGAGCTCCATGGTAGAGAATTCACATTGCACCCAGAATGTCCCAGATACAATCCATGGCATTTTATGGCTGGGAAAGACTCCTTGCCTGAAATCATGAAAAGCCACTGCCGTTCAGTATACATAATACTGAGTTAGATGGACCAATAGGAGAAGTTCCTGGGTCATTGGGCCCTTATAGTTTAATACTGCTTTAACCAAACCACATTCAGATGCCTAGGTTTTGTGGCTGAAAGATTTTGAGGGTTAAATAATTGTACTAAGCCCTTTACACAGGGCCTCTCTGGGCTGTTTGTGGGGGCCGGTGGGCAGAGGCAGGCATATCCAGCAATGTAGCATAGACCCAATAATCATGCATAAGTGGTAGACTGACTAC